CCCCAAAACCCCAAAACCCCAAAACCCCATAACTTGAAATATGAGTAGATTAGATCAATCATTAAAGTAAATTATTATAATATCAGGATATAAAATTAATGACATCGCCTCCACCTGCCAAAAGAATAGATAACTCTGAGTTTGATCCTATTTCATACAAACAGACACTTACAATAGTGAACTATTATATTCTGAATAGTGCCTAGTTTTTGAACTCGTAAACACTAAAAAAAATACTAATTTAAACATAGATTCTCTTAAGTCGTGGAAACTAAAATGCATGATGTTGATGAGAGATTAGATGAGCTTGAAACTATTATCTCATTATTTGAGCAAAAACTAGACTCTCTCCCACCAGAAATATTCTCTAATATGCCACAACAAGTTTAATAACTCCAAAACACTGCAACTTAATTAGTTCCAACAGAGAATCCCCTTGGACCTCCAGTCATTCCACCACCTCCACCTCCAGGATGTAAATATAATCTATTCAACTTTTAGTTGCTGGTGGTAATAATGTCCCTCCTCCTCCAGGAGGAGTACCACCTCCTCCCGGAATGAATGCCCCTTAGTTTAAAGGACCTCCTCCTCCACCTGGAATGGCAGGTATACCTCCTCCTCCAGGAATGAAGCCACCTGTTGTATTTGCAGGTGCAGGAGGACCTCCACCCCCTGGGCCTCCGCCAGGAATGGGAATGCCACCTCCTCCTGGTGGCATCCCTCCTCCTCCAGGTATGGGTCCTCCCCCAACACCAGGAATGGGAATCCCACCTCCTCCTGGAATGCAGAATCAAGGCCAAGATATATAACCTTAAGTTATTGATTAACCAGAAATGACAGAGGAAGAGAAAAAGAAGATGGAACTAGAGGAGAATGAAGAATTTATGAAATTTGTCAAACTTTATAAAATTGTGAAGGTTCCTCTAGCTAATATTAAGATGAAGATGAAATAGGAAGGCAAATATGAACCTAAGCTTATGGATGTAATTATTATTTTTCTTAAAATACTTTTAGCTGTTTGCAAGCGAGAAAGACATTCAATCGACTGCGTCCTACAACTGACTGATCAAAATAATAGTTAATTCTTTTAAAAAATCTTAAAAGTTATTAGAATAATTTTATTTTAATCAATTAATCCTTCCATATCTTTTCCTTAAATCTTCCAATTTCTGACTATAATTCGATAAGGTACTCTTGCTTCCCTCTTATGTCTAACTTGAGTGTAGATTTGCCAAGAATTGCTGATTTGATACTTGTATATTTCTTAGATTTGATATATTTGTATCTTATTTGATATGATTGAGAATATTCTGCATATTTGGGTTACTTTAATCGCTAACATAGGATTTATTATTGACATGATTATTATTGTACCTCCCTCTCATGTCTTCATATCTTATGTGATTAGATAATTTATAATCACTGGGTGGCTCTTTCCTCTAACTTACAATGCCATCAGCATTTGACTATCTTTGAGTACTGGCTTGGGCTCTAACGTACTAGCTTATTTAAGATTATGGAGTCATCAAACTTTTCTTGCCATAACTTTGAAGTCTATGAGTGATGGAATCATTACTAATATCATTATAGTCAATCTATTCACTCTTCTCACTGTTGCTTAAGTTGGCTAAGTTTTTATCCCTTTGGAGTAGATTTGAATGAAGTTTAATCTGAGAAGCCATTGTTGTGGCTGGAACTCTGAAGCTATTTACTATACTATTAGGATTCGAATCATATTAATTGACCTCTATTTTTGGATTTTTTAAGTAACTCCTGCTATTGCTTATATCATTTTTAGAGTTATTTGATATATTTGAGTTTTCAAATGCAGGTTTGAAATCATAAAAAATTGATACATTCTATTCTTTTTCTAAGGTTCCTTAAGTGTTGTTAAATAATTGATATTCTTAGTACATACTTTTCTAGGGCAATTTGAGATTTTACGGGTTAGCATGAACTGCGAATGACTAGGGCTTTCTAAAAGTTTAAGTATTTTACATAGAGGAACCATTTCTTCTTTAGTTTTCTACACTTCTTCTATCATAAGTATCTTATTATTCACTTGAATCAGCTCTTCTCTTTTCTAGCATTTTCAGTTACTCCAGAAGAGCATGACTCATATCAGACTAGCTGTCTTAGTTCTCAATATGAAGAATATGATTTTACATTGTATCTCTTTCAATAAAATGAGATTAAAGACTATCCTCATAAGTCAAGTCTTTTTTAACAAACTCATCAGGCACATAGTTATATATTAAGTTTTAACTTTTGGCTTTAATTTAATTGTAATTTACAGGCTTCTTTGGTAATCTATGATTATTATTGCTAAGAATCAGCTTTTATCTCTCGATTTATAAGGCTTATTATGGATTTTAGCTAACTTCCTTGATATTTTCAAGTTCTTGATTTATTCTCTTTAAAGACGAATTAAAGATCTTTTAGAATTCATGTGAATTGTCTTCTCTTTATGAATTATTGAACGACTTTCTCATCTTATCCTAGATTGAATCCACAGGAATTTATTAAGATGTAGGAATTAGTGTGGGTGATTGATAATTTTCATTTTTCATGCTTGTTTAAAATAAATCTAAATTCCCGTTGTTTGAAAAGCTTGGATTTTCTCCTTATCCAGTGTAAATTACATTTTGAGAATTTTTATTTACTATCCTTGGTTCTTCATACAATCCATTCAAAGGAGTATCATTATCATTTTCGTTAAAGCCCATTACATTAATTTATTGATTATCTTATGATTTAGCTCTATTCTTAACTAAGCTCTCAAATCTACGGCTGATCATAGACTAATTATCCTAGTCTGAAATCTGTCTCTGTATTATTTGATTGATCATATGAAATAAATCTTCTTAAGTTATGATCTTTGATTGAGAACCTTACATGTTTGGAGTCATTATCCCTGAATTGCCAGATGGCTTTTATGATTTTTACTAATTATAGTTCACTAATTGCTTCATTTGATTCTTTAGAGATATAAGCTTAAACTCTCTTTCCTATATTTTACCTTCCATTTTGAGCTTTGCATCTTGAAGCTTGTTTTAATAGTCAATCACTTTTTACCTTACCTCTTTAAGTTCTCTTTCTAGTTTCTAATTATAGGTCTTTAGCTTAAGAATCTTGCCATCTCTCTTCTTTAACCTTCTTTTATAGTCTTGATGTTCCTATTAACTTCTCTAAGCTCTTTCTTGATTCTCTCTTAGCATTTTTCTATGTTCATTAATTTCATGCTAAAGCTAAAGGGATATCTGCTCATAATCTTTTGCTTTTCCAAGTAACTAATTAAGATCATTTCTATTATTGATAATTGTAATGTTTCTATTTAGATGACTTTAAGAAACTATTTATTGATGAGAAGAAAAGTTGCTAGTTAGATTCTGATATTCTTTTTCATCAAATGTATTAACTTAAATGTCTTTTTCTTCATTGACAGGCAGATTTTTCTTTGGGCTCTTTACCTAATTAAATTCTACTTATATTGACTGATCTGACTTCCTCGCTTTAAAAAATACCTAAATGTCTCTATCAACTTAGACTATTTGAGTATTACTTTTCTTTTCCAAATTGAACACCATTCTTTCATACTCAGCTATTTCAACCTTCATGGCTTCAGCTTTTTTAAAAAAGTTGTCGACTTCAACAGTATATTACTCAACTTATTTCTACAAATCATTTTTTTCAATGCTTAGCTGGAGTATTTTCTCTTTTTACTTCTCTTTATCATTCTTTTGTTTCTCAATTTTCAATTAAAGAGTCAGATTATTCTCTTCTGATCTTTGAAGTTGTTATTTGATTAAAACAATCTATTATTTGAAATGATTTAAGTCTTCTGTATTATAAGAAATAGAAGAGTGCTTTTGAAGAGCTGGTTAATTTTTTGGGTTACTTGAAGGTGACTCTCTAAGCATGTTATCTAATCTCACCTAAGGAGTATCAAAGACATTAGTGGTGCTGTTTTACTTTGACATGAGATTTCCATGGCCAGACATTGTATGCGACTCAATTAGATTAGGGTCATTAAAAGATCTCTGAGGAGTTTTCTTCAATCCAGATAGACTCTATTTGCCCTTTTTAGGCCTTATTTTCTTTTTTTCTGATGTTACTTAAAATTCCTCCTCTGTAATTTGAGTAGCCATATCCTATTGCTATTTTTAGGAATAGATAGATTTTGAGCCTGTATTTTTCAATTAATCACTTAATTCCAAGATTTGATATTCTAGTTATTCATTCTTATGCTGAATAAAACTTAGCTAACTTTCCTTAATGTGTATCAGCTACTATTTATTTTGATTCTCACATTTTAAATGATCAATGATTTATTTTTGTTCCCTCAACTTTTAAGCGAAATTGATTTCTTCAAATTTTTAAAGTGGTTGTTAGTACTCATCTTCTGAGATCTCATTAGTTGGTAATATCTTTGAAACTCTGTCAATATTGCTTAGTAGGTCTTCATCTGACATAGCGAAATCAGGTTAAGAGTTATTAGGATTTTAACTTTTAATGCCAGCATTGCTTTACATCCTTTGATAAAAATAATGCGAAATTTGATCCTATTCGTTATTGAAAACTCTCGGTGACTCATTTGAAATTCTTGACTGAGCGTATTATCTCCCTTTTTATTCATCCTTGAAATTAGGACTAAATTATTTTTTGTTGGTAATCTTCACTCCACCTATAGGTGATGTATCAGTATTAAAGACCTTATCAATTCTATTTTCATTTTTAGAATCTCCATAAGAATTTCTTGTGCTTCCTCCCTTAATGCTGTTTTTTTTTGGAGCAATAGGTTAAGATTTAGATTTTTGATATATTTAGTTTTATGTTTAATCTCTCGAAGCAGGAATAAAGTACTACTGATGCTATTATTGATACTATGCTGAATCGCCAGAATGTATTCTAAGGAACTCAGCATTTCCTATATTTACTTAATTTATCTGTCTCTCGATGTTTGAAGAATTCATACTCTATATCTTTTGATATGTCTGATATGAGGAATGAATTTCAGATTGATCTTCTTCTGTTATAATAAATAGTGGTAGTTGCCTCTCTTTGCTATAGGGTGAATCTTGATAAGTTTGCTATCTACCACTACTTTAGCTGTCTACTATTTATTGATTGTCTTCATAACTTTACATATGCTTACTATTTTAACCAAAATCTTATCTCTCATATATTCTGTCTGATATCCTTTCCGAGTATTTTCTATTTGGATCACTTTCTGTCTGAGAGTCTCCTCCCTCGAATTCCTCAAATTTTATTATAATACTCTTCTCAAATTCCTTAATTTTCTAGCCCTCAAATTTATAAAATGATCCATTGAAAGCACTAGTCTTTTTGCTTTCTTCACTTCCTATGTCCTGCATTATATTATTCTGATTCTCGCTTTCATTCTCATCGCTAGCTGGATTTTAATACTATTACTAATTTGCACCTAAACTATCTTTATGCTAATGGTAAACTTCATTTTGCAAGGGCTCACGAAGTTTGAGCAGCGAGGATACTTGCAAATTGGTTGGAAAATTTGAAGTCTACAAGCCTTAGAAACTGTAGAGCAACGACTCTTTACCAGGACTATTATGCATCAATGTAAAATTATCCGAATTCATATTGGTTGGAGGTGAAATATCCCTTTCCTCTTATTGCTAAGAGTTGTTGTGCCTCTGTATCATTTCGCTATTTTATTTCTCTTTAAGAGATGAGATTACTTCTAATCTCTGAGTAAGGTCTTCTATGTTCAAAGGCTAGCTGAGATATTAATCGGATTATTATTGATGCAGGTTAATGTTTTAATCTCTTTAGGATTCCGGAGGTGAGTATGATTCTTAGGTAAAGTTACTTCGCTCTGAGTCCATCTAATTAAATAGAAGCTGATTCAATTAGTCATTATACGGGTGGTCATTTGGATCTTGATTTTAGTGCAAGAACTCGTCAAATTGAAATTAATCTTTCTCAAATGCAACCCCACTAGTATTTTACACTAAATAATCTTCATCTAGTTTTTACTCTTATCTGTTAATTTTTCTGTTGTGATACTAAGAATGAGGGAGTTCTCCAATTGAATCAGGGGTATAAGTATTGTAATTCTCCAAATAATCTCTCCTCTATTGTAAGTATAATTAATTTTAGTCGGTCTGATCTTAATTTATATAGTTGCGATCTGCTTTTGGATCAAAATGATCTTATTCATCCTGATACTACTAGAACTCTATAAAAGCTTTTTTAAGGTTTTAACTTCCTTCCATGCAATTAAAATAAATACTCAAATTTATTTTCTTAAAGATCAATTAATATTATAATCTTCATTGTTTACATACGGGGTTTTGGGGTTTTGGGGTTTTGGGGTTTTGGGG